TGAGATAGCCCAGGGAGAGGATATAGAACGAGAAGAAGAGGGCCAAGAAGGAAAGCTGGAGAAGGTTCAACATTTATTCCAAACTCTCTATCCCTGGTTTCTGTCTTTCAAGCAACTTCAGGCTGGGGGTGATCTGACCATAGGAAGAGGAACGCACTCACCATGGGGGTACCAAGTGTCCTCATCCCTGTGCCACCCTTTCTCAAAATAGATCCAGCTGTTGTTTCTGATAATGACGGGGATTCTCATGTACAGGTATGCATGAGGAGAGAATGTGCAGATCACGTGTATCAGACAGTTACATTTCGTGTTTTAAATTAATACGTTGGCATTCTGCTGCTATCTCACTTCTGTGCATTTCAGGTATGGCGAGTCAGTTTCTCTGAGCCGCACCCCCTCCCCCCGCCCCCCAGTTTCTCTGAGAGACAGCCTCAGAACCTTTCTGATTTTTACATCCTAGCAGTCAATCTCCATAGAGCCAAAAGCAAGGTCCTGCCATCTAGAGATTCTGAAGAGATCCAGACCTTAAGGAAGATGAAAATGGTTGGGAACGAGCATGAAGTGAAGTTCTGGGGAATCAACGTGGTATGAGTTAATAATTGCCTGAAAGTAAAGACCCAATTTAAGGTAGAGATTCTGAATTTCTGGAAAACCTGGGCTACACTGTTGCATGATTTTCTTCTTCAAAACCAGGTAGCCTAGCCTTAATTTCTTATCGAGGTCTCTAGATGGGTTTTTTCGAGAGAAAAGCAGTTTATAGTTCAACATTTAACAGGGATTTATGTTTACAGTAGGGAAGTATAATGGGTAAATCTATTGTATTTTGGTTTATACTTTTATTATCAAAGGCATTGTTTAAAAAGTTTCTTCCCTAATTTTAGTCTTGGTAAATATATGTTCATGTTTCCGTAATTATGTTCACATTTGACACATTTTGCTTTTCAGACCTTTTGTTTGGCTGCCATGTAATTAAATGATGTCCTACAAATCAAAGTGTGAATAGAAGCAGATGTAGACAAGTTACTTAACCTCTTTGTCCCTCAATTTTCTCATCTCTCAAACAAGGACAATAATACCTTACAGAACGGGGAAAACAATTTTCTCCCAATTTTCTCATTCTTCTCACATTTCTGTCACAAAATAGAAACTTCTCCCTCTTGGAGATATTGGATTAAAGCTTTCTACTTTTTCTTTTTATCTTTCACACTGGCTTGTCCCCACAGGATGAGAAGCAATTTATATAATTGGTGAAATGAAGAGAGTCTGACATCCATTAGCCTGTGTTTCTCCATTGGGCAGAGATGATGTGTTGAAGCTTGGTGTACACATATGTCCTTTCTCTCTCTATACCTCTGTTTTGGTCAGGGTAAGACTAGCTACATAGACCCACATAGACCTAAATAGACCGCTAATGTGTGTTATGACTCACTTACAGTAAAGATTGATTTCTCGGTCTATAACAGTCTAAGGCAGGTGTTCATGGTCGGTGGGTGCATTTCCTTGGTGATTCAGAGGCTGAGAACGTTTTTATCTGTGGTTCTGCTGTCTCCTAGCTTGTAGTTGATCTGCATCCCCCTGGAAGAAGGGGAAAGACTGTTCAGGGACAAAATCCTTTTTTAAAAGTCTTGGTTCAGAATGGCACACATCAGAGGTTTGGGTGAAAATCCAGTAGTTTCTCAGGCTTTTAGCCATTCAGTCTCTCTGTGCTTGATGGGCTTTGAGGCAGGCAATAATTCTCCGTGACGCTCTCTAAGCCAAATTCACAGAGTGGGTCAAGAGAGCTATATCTGGGCTGTTATATTAGGAGGACTCTGCTGGCTTCAGGGCTAAATTAGATTCTCCAGTCCAGCTTCAGAGCATACTGGCTAAGTGCCATGTTCTGAAGCCAGTCTTCTTGGGTTCAGATACTGGTCTACCACTTACTATGTATCCCTCTTTCATTTGGTTACATAATTCCTCTCTGTCCATTTCTCTCTGTTGCCTCTCTGTGAAATAGGGACTACAATAGAGCGTTTGTGTTAGTGCCATCCAGTCACTTCTGACTCCTAGCAACCCTGTGTGCAACAGAACAGAACCCTGACCTGGTCATTTTGTACCATCTTCCTTATGTCAGACAATGCTCCACTGCTGTTCACAGGGTTTTCATGGCCAAGTTTTTCAGAAGTGGATGTCCAGTCCTTCTTCCTGGTCTGTCTTAGTCTGGAAGCTCCACTGCAACCTGTCCACCATGGGTGACCCTGCTGGTATTTGAAATACCAGTGGCAAAGGTTTCAGCATCATGGCAACATCCAGTCACCACAGTGTGACAACCAATAGATGGTGGTGTGGTTCCCTGACTGGGAAACTAACCTGGGCTGTGGTGGTGAGAACTCTGAATCTTGACCACTAGACCACCAGGGCTGGGTATAAAAACAGAGAGCATACCTCGAAGGATTATTAGGAGATTAGTTTAATTAATCCCTGTAAAGCACTTAGTAAATGCTCAATAAAAATGAACAATTATTATTCCTGTTAAAAAAAGGTTTATTTCAATCTCTCTCTGACTTCTGTCTGTGATTTCTCGGTTGGACTAGAATTCAAAGAGAATGGAAGTGCCTTAATGATCATCCTAGGACTCTGACACTTACTTTCAAGTAGTGCCTGGCACTGGTACATGCTAGAAATATGATAAAAATAGAAAATGTTACAGGTTTTCTAGTCACTGTCCCCAGTTTGGGGCCTTAATTTTTGTTTGTGTTTTGTTTTGTCTTTAGTCATAACACATGCTGCCATTCTATTCTCATTCATAGTCTGTAACTTGCTCTGTCAGGATGCTTAGATTTTTCAATTTGAATTTAATGCACATAGATTTTTCACAGATGACTCTTCACGTGGTCTCTGTTTACTTCTTAATTGATGTTTAGTCATGCTTAGAGACTCTTTCTCGTATGTTTAGTAGCCTGAGATCACTGAATATGATTTTCAATGCCCTGCTCATTCTATTAAGAATTACCATATCTTTTGATTTTCCAGAAAAGCCCAGTACTTTCTTCTGTGTCAACCCTTCAGATGCTCTGGACAGTCTACCTAATCTCCCCCCAATTAGAATCAGATGTCTGTTATTCTACATACAGACTCTCCTTTGCTGATATCATCAGGATAGCTCAGTCAGCTCATGGGCTAACTAATCACCACCAAACATTTGTCACTTTGGATGTGTAACTCACGGAGCCATAATTAGAGAATACTCTAAGTGTCTTATATTTGTACAGTTCTTCCAGCTTCACAAATTTTATTGTCCATCATCTCCTTTAACATCCAAGTAAACCCTTTGAGCAAGTTGCTCAATTTCTGGATAAGCAAACTAGGGCTCCAAGAGGTGAAGTAACTTTGTCAAGATCACCCACTTTTTAGGAACCTGGGCAGCAGCACAGGAGTTCTAGTCCCCTATCTGGCCTTTCTTTCCACTTAAACCACACTTCTTGTGAAATTGGTAAATAGACACAATTTCAGATTTCAACGCTGTTACTTTATGTGTTCTGCCTTCCATTTTCTTCAACTCTCAGATGGGACTAACAATATTGACCTCTTAGGATTTCTGTGAGGCTAGCCCTTAGCAAGCATTCAATTATTACGTTAAGCAAAAGGAAAAGAAATCAGAAGGAGCAGAGGGTTAAGTTCTCAGAGAGAAACAAAATGATTATGAGATATTGTCTTGTTTTGCTCTTTATAATTTTCTGTCCCCTCCCTGGATCTAAGAAGTTCTCCAGGGCCTTTGGGGTCCTTTGTCTTAAGAGGAGTATGTGGGGCACAGCTAAAAACAAAAGTACCTGAAGACAACTCCTTCTTCTTGTCTAAACACATAGATTAAAATATGCTTGGTATCTAAGATTAAAGGCTCAATGGGGTTAGTGGGGATTCTCAGCCATTTTCAGCATACTCCCTTGCAGTATATGAAAGAAGTGACAAGATCTTAAGAAAGGCTTGGTGGACCCTGGGAGGTGGAACACTTGGCTCTGAGATGTCGGCACCAGTGAGATTCCCGGGGTCCCAAGCGTGGCAGAAAGGCTGCTGACCTTCAGGGCTTACATGGACTTAGGCAATGAGAATTATCTGCAGCAACCATGATAGGCCGAGCATGAAGGGCTCTCTCATTTTAGTCAGCCACATAAGCCACAGGATGCTCAAGAAAGCCCAGAGAAAGAGAGCAGTTGCCCACCAAAAGATTGAGTTTTTTTCTACAAACAGCGCAGTGCAATAGGAATAGGGCTCCAGTTAGATTTCCTTGCTATTTAAATTAATTAAACAATGTGATGTTCCTTACATACCTTGTTTGGGGAACTAAGATTCACATCCACTAGAATAGCATTACATGGGGAGAGAGGAGTGAAGGAAGAGAGATTTATGCCAAATGTGAGAAACCACTAGAAAAAGAGAGAAGTGTGCACACGAGAGGAGAGAATGCCAGAATATGACTGAGACTAAGAAGACCAAGGGATTAAATACCAAAGGGCAAGAGTCACGAATTTCCATGAATCTTGCTAACTCTCCTGAGGAGGGTCACCATAGCTTCTGTGTAATAGTCACTATCGGACAACTATTGACCAAATGCCTTTGTCTTTAGAAACTAGGCTTAGCTGTGCCATCCATGGCAAAATACTAGAGGGGTATGAAGCCACCTCATGTTTGCATTCTTTGATGTTAAGAACTATGCTATGTCTTTCTCATCTTTACACACACAGCATCTTGTAAATAGAAAGTACTCAAAACTTCCCTAAATAGACAGTGGACTGAATAATGTAACAAATTTCACTTTATACAAAACCCTTGGGATGTCTTCTACAAATACTTCATTATTCACTAAAAAGCGATCCCAAATTACTTCCACTGAGATTTGTGTAAAGAACTAAGTGGGCCTAACCTCCCAATATCTTTCTATATCTATGATAACCATACCTTTCTGAAGCTGCATCTTACTCATTCTAAGCGATCATTGTTTACTAATCAAAACTCAGAGAATGCAGATTAACATTTATTTGCTTTAAAACAGTCAGCAGGACAGAGACCACATAATCACTCTCCATCTGTTCCTCGATGATCACATACGAAATTACAAGCGTCCTTCTTGTGAGCAATAGTTCTATGATGTGCATCTGGTGGTAGAAAAGAGGAATGCATTGCCCTCTGGTTTATGGTTCCATTTTAGTAACTGGAAAAAAACATAAAAATAGGAAGACTGAATGTATAAATAAGTAACTGTGGTACATTTCTCTCCATTGTCGGTACTCATCACTTTCTAATAGAATTAACGATTTAACATATGCTAAGTTGGACTGTATCATAGAAACCAAGTTTCTTTTTAAAAAATCAATGTTCAAATTGCTACTTTATTTTAAATTGCCTCTTGTAGAGATAAATGCAGGGAAAGGATGCATTAATTCAGTCCAGCAAACACTTATTATGCAGCTACTGGATGCCAGCACTATTTTGCTAATTTGCCTTTGACCATAACAAGAGGGGCAAATCTCTGCTTTTTTTCAATCTATTTGGATATTTTCAGGCTATTTGAATTTTAAAAAATATTTATGCTTAGTGTGGAAGTGGAGGAGAAGGTCAAACAATTGTATGGCTTAACTGTGGGCAGAACATGGCTCTGCCTGGAAATGGAAAAAATAGATCACCCTATTTTTTTAAAGAAAACAAATTAGCAATTATATTGTGATCAAAATACCTATATGGAAGCCAAATTTTTGGTATTCCTAAAGGCAGGAGTCGTGTATTAGGTAAAATAGCACCATGCCATCAAAAAGTGTTTAATGTATAGCTGTCGTGGTACTGTTTTTATGTACACAATGCAACCGACAGAAGCACTCAGTCTTCAGTGTAATCACCAAGAGGAGTTGGCCTGTCCCTTCTAACTGGAATGTCTGGGAAATCTTAAAAGCTCAAAATAAGTATAACCAGGTTGTCTTTTGAAAATTAATAAACAAGTTGTGGTGGAGTGATGGAATATATTAAAATAAATGAGGAGCAGTTGGGAATACTTCAAAAGAATATTGTTTACTTATTTGGCAAATCTCAAACTTCTGCACTGCCTACGTATAGGAGAATCTCTGCTCTCCTGATCACGGCTTCTCACACATCAGATGCAACAGCTGTTTTAACTGGCACATCAACACAACCATTCCTGACAGGGAAGCGTGTTAGGACAGTGAATGCAATTGAAGCTGCAGAATTTGGGGAGGCAGCATACCATTGACCAACTGGGAATATGGCCAGAATATTGTAGCTTACACGTCTTTTCAGAGAGAGGGACATGTCTTGCACAAAGTTATACCGTCAACTCAGCTGAAGTCCTTCTCTCCCAGGCAGTCCTCTGGCTCTCCTCCTAATGACTGGCCAAGGTATGATTGTTCAAAAGTACCCTCCATGATATGTGAATGCCATCTTCTGGAAATGTATGTTTTGCATACAACCATTTTCATAGTTTATAAAACCAGATTTATACAGAATACACAGGGAAAGATAAATAATAGGACAGATAAAATAGTTGGATTATAGTATGGTGAAAGGATTAAAGAAAGTATTTTTATTTTACAAATTAAATTTTAAAACAGATCACTCGGGAATTGGACGACATACAACCTTCCTTGAGTGACGTTCGTTGATGGAGCAGGTGTTTTGCAAAAGTCTGGAGCACGAAAGGAATGAAGCTGTCTTTCAGCATTTTTATCTCAAGGGAAATTTTACAGAACGAACGACACAGATGGATACTGAGCCAACAGATGACAAGAGGACCGGCTTCATTCTCTGGAAAATATGATGATAAGAAACAGATTTCAGCTGTTCCTTGAGTTTTTCCTCTACCGGACAACAAATCTGCCAAAAATGAGGATACACAGATTATGACACACACACAACCCCTCCACCTGCATCACTTCCTGACAAGTCACAGCGTTTCTTTGATTCAAATGCAGGAAACCTACCCATAAGAGAAGTCATCTTCTCATATGAAACATTGTCTCCCATAGAAGAATCAAGCAAAACCAGTGGGTATTTCTGTGCCATTCTTTAGAAAGCAGTTTAAAACATCTTAACATCAGTAATCAGAGGCTCATATCAACATCAGTCTTGAAAGCAGCCTCCCACTTTCACCTCCAACAACACAGACAAATAACACCACCACCAAAGCTGAGAGAAATTAGGGGCAAAGTTCTGTCACTCTATTATAAGTACGCATTATTTTTCAGCTCTTGTGATATAAAATGGAACTTAGGCCTACCCCTAACATTTGTGGGGCCCAAAGCAAGAATATAAGTGGAAGCCTATATACATCTACCTTTTAAATCAAGCAAACAGTTCTTTCCTTTTTCTGTGACAAATATACTTTCATAGCAACAAAATCAGAAAATATATGTAAAGGTATGTCTTTTTCATATGACTTGAATTTGGCAAAATGCCAAAGATGAATGAATTTAATTACTGTTGCTCGTGTTGAGTGTTCAGTTGATGGGCTAGTGGCATCTTGATAAGTCATGAAATAAACAACCCTAATACATACACCATGTTTTCTATAAAATTTATTTTCTTCCATTCATCTCAGCAAACTCATTAATTTTGTTTTTGAAATCAAGATTTTCACGTAATTTGTTTTCTGATAACAGTAATGATCTAAAAACTAAATATGTAATTATATTAAAAGTGTACAAAATTTGAATATATTTTCATCAAAAATATTTATGCAAAAAATGTAAACATTTCAATTATTTTGTTTTCAAACTAAACTATATTCCTTCTAAAGTATTCATTAGAAGGAAAAATACAAATGATGACTATCAATGATACATATTTTAAAACAAAATTATGTAAATAAATATTAAATAATTTTGTAAAAATAGATCAATTTATAATTCTGTCATTCAGGGTTCATGTAATTGCCAATGTAAAGAATCAGTATCACATTTTATTACTAGATCTGTAAATACAAATTTCTAAGAAATGAATCCATATTCCACCACATTCTTCAGCTGCCATGTGCAACAGTTGAGAATACCACACTAAATTCATGAGAATCAAAAGAATCATGAATGGGGACATAAAAGAAAGCAAAACACACTGGGACCTAAGCAGCACAAGAAGGTTGAAGGTGGTGAAAAAGTAGTTACCACGGAATGAAAAACCACCCCAGCTGTTTGTTGGGCGACTTCATGAGGGGACTCTGTTGCAGTTCAACATGGAGAGTCCAAAAATGTTTGATGAATTTAGGCTTAAGTCCAGCAGGGATGGCTATCCAAGGAGATTCAATCTGCGGGGTGGGAACCCAGCCAGAGGAGTCCATAGGCATCAGGATATACTAGAAGTCATGAGATGGATGCAACTGTGGTTTCAAGCGATATGTAGTGGAACCCCCTTGAGTAGCAGGAGGACATGGGTAAGAGAGTCCAGCTTCCATTGACGAGCCTGTCAAAACTAGGCAGGATGTCAGGGCCCCAGCCAAGTGGGCTTGGGTGCAGGGAAAAGCTCTGTAACCATATGGGGTTTGAAATGATGAGCGAAAGCCAACACAACCAGGGTTGGGGGAAAGCATCGATTCAACAGGCAAATTGAGGAGGTGAAACAGAAAGCATGAGGCCCCCAGGTCCTCCCCACTTGCTGATGGTACACATGTATTTTCTGCCATGGTGAGAATTGTTTCTGGTTTGGGCTGAGGTTGAATGTGAATGGAAAGGGCATTCATGATTATAGTTGAATGGAGTTCAAGAAGACATGGGCTGAATAATTTTGTAATAGTATCATGGTGTGGCAGATTTTTTTAAGTGCATATATGGGAATGTTGGGGAAATTTAGTATGGTTTTAATCTATAGGTCCAATATATTGGTGAAGTTTAATTTAACTTTAATGATGATGACATTTTGACCTGATATTTATGGGCAAATTCCGTATGAAAACATTATGCAAGTTTTCATTATTTTAGGTGGCTGTATATATAAAATCAATTTTGGAAAATCTTTATTATACATCTTAAGACTCTAGAAACTGCTATTCCCTATGAGTCCATCTGAGGCCATGTGACGCTGCGATTACCTTCTTATGGATAGTTTTTGTGACAATGCTGAATGGCTGAAATTGTGTACTGCATTTTAGTATCAAGAGTAAAAACATATCTCTATTATGAGATTAAATTGATCCACGAATCAGCTCTGTTTGTGAAAATGCAAATTTATGAACACAAGATCTTAAAAGAAAGACAAGGTACACATATTCTTTCAAGTCCTAAAAATCAATTCTACATTACTTTTACCTTCTAAAGACAGATTTCAATGCTGTCATTTCAAAGAAAAAAGTTTTGGGTTTGGAATTTGAGTTTCAAGGGATTGACAAGGATGGGGCAGTATTCGCCTGCCCTTACTGGCTTTTACACTCCAAGGACTTTGTCTTTATGTGACACAGAAAAAGCATAATCAAGGAGCCAAGTGCCACTTAGATTTCAGGGCTCTACACTTTAATAATAAGTGGCAATCAGTGAATCATAGGAAGTGGAAATCATTTTTATTGCCTCTTTTCCTAAAAAAAGTCCTATCTTAAATAATATTTTAGCTGCACTGACTGATCTGAGCTAGGAAATGACCTCTCCTAAGAAAGCCCCTGTGTGGAAGATTTGTTTTGCTGATATTCAGGCAAACACTTTGATTTTAACTATGGCCTCATATTATATCCATTAGAAAAAGAGCCAACAGATTAATCTCCCTTTAAATGATGCTCCTATTTTGCTGAAATGATTGTACCAATGGTCAGCTTATTGAGGTGTGTTCCTGTTACCGAGATATACTGTAATGTGTATTTTAAAAATATATTTAGTAGAGTAACTTTAAAAAACATACACAAATGAATAATAATTCTTAATTCCAATGATTCTGACAACTTGAAATGGCATAAAATGGGGTTACTCTGCAAGTATTCATTAATTATCACTTAAAGTTGATTTCCCAGCATCACTTTATTTTTTTTAATTTTGGTAAAAAATACACGAGAAATCTATCTTCTTAACAACTTTTAAGTGTACAGTACAGTATTGTTAACTACATGCACATTGTTGTACAGCACATCTCTAGAACTTTCTCACCTCGTATGACTAAAACTCTACACCCACTAAACAGGAACTCCCCATCTCTCCCTCTCCCCAGCCCCTGGCAACTACTCCTAGCATTACTTCTAATGAATAATCCTTTATTTAATATTACAGTTTTAGAATTCCTTAAAAGTATCTGTACATATTATTAAAGAATTTTTTTGTTTTGAGTTGCTTTTACTGAATAATTGTTTCCAGAATCTTTGAATGCTCTCCAGGGAGGGATGGCCAATTTTTACTTTTTTGCTATCTGGCGTTTCTGTTCTAAAACATAAGTTTTAAGAGGTATTTTTAATAAGATGAAGAGATAGGAAATGTAAATTGTACATCTTTGTATGTGCATTGTATTTTTTAATCTCTGATCTGGCCTTAAGGTAAAAGGCTAATTTTTCTCTATCTACAAAATAGTTTTAAAAGGTATTCCTTGATATCTGTCATCTACTTGCTTGGCTCTCACAACTAGATTGGGAGATAAAACTTCCAACAGCGGGAGTTAGTCCATTCCGCGCCTCAATCTTAGCTTCTCAGCATTCTCTGAAGGAATTCACCGCCACCAGTATTTCTATCTTTTATATTCCACATTCTTCACATCCTGCCAAGATTCAGTAGCCATCTGGACTGTCCCTCCATATTTGTTTATGCAAAAACTAAACATGGTTGTGTTTGTACGGCCCATGAGTCTATCTCCTTTCATTCCATTATCGCACAAAAATGTCACCAGAGCAAAGAAGAGGACACTTTGAAGTCCTCTCCAAAGCTATTCCTTCATCATTTTACAAAGGGCTTAAGAAGAAGAGAATCTAAAAAAGTCATTTCGCTCTGAAGATGGTTCTTAATACTGTTAATAACATGGCCATTATACAAGATTTAAAATAAAATAAAAGACTTTTGGAACAAGACAGACATGGTGTAGAATCCAGGGTCATCATTTACTAGTTATGCCATCTCACAAAACTTACTTAATATCTTTGACCCTCAGTTTTGTCATTTGTGAAAAGACAATAATAATATCCATCTGGCCAGACTATTATGAGAATTAAGTTATATGGTGTATTTTAAATACCTGGTATAGTTCCAATACACAGTAGATGCTCAACAAATTTAAACACCTTTCTTTTTCTGTCCCTACTTAATTTGGCAGTGGGTATGAGAGACAGAGGGGACTTAGGGAGGAGATTAGGAAAAACATTGTATTCAAACAAGGTATAGGGACCCATGTGGGCAGCCACAGTGCTTGGCTTTTAGTAGTATTATCTGGACAACGGAATTGGTCCTTATACCCAGAGCCAGGTTAAAGGGTGGGTCAGCCAGGCAGTCACCCAGTTTCTGATCCACTGGGGATATGAAATCACAACTGAAATAAATTGGAAACATAGTGCATGTTTGACTCCTTTTGTAACTGACAAGATGTGAAGCCGATGGATCCCTTGAACTGCAACTCAAAAATCACTTTGGGTCAGAATCAGCCTTCTCCTCTGGGTCTTTTAGTGGCATGCTTCTGTAGGTTGGCGGCACGGAGCACTAACTGGCCAGGCTACTAATCCTGAGACTGAGGTCTGTAGTTGCTGTCAGCTGAAATGTTAGAACTGACTACAGCACATGATATATGCTATCTGCTGAGAAGCAGTGATTTACAACTAAAGTTTAAACACTGTAAGATGTTTCCAAAGATGCTGTCTT